ATGTGTTTAGCCAACGGGCAGCATCGTGAAAACTTGTGTTCCAACAAAGGAACTCTCCTGAATCAGCGAATTTAAATGTATGTTTTTAACAGAAGTAGACATAAAGTGTTGGATTCCTTCTGTGTAAAACTGTTTTATTGTCTGTTAGATGATCTTCTGTAGGTACAACAATCCTTTCATTGTCTAGAACTGGTTCTGACCAACCACCATCACACATGCTGGTATGAGCCTCGACAGTTTATGATCAGAAACCAGAACCACATCCAGGGTACCAATGATTGTTTCCATGACTCCATGTCATAGACATTAAACTGCTGCAGTCTGACTGCTACCACTATGAAACATCCCATAATACTGATGCTACCAGCTGGTTGCAGAGGAAATGAACAGAAACCAGATTTAGTGTTTAGACCAGGGGTGGGCAATCCTGGTCCTGGAGGGCCACAGTCCTGCATGTTTTAGATGTTTCTCTCTTCCAACACACCTGATTCAAAAGATCAGCTCATCATCAGCTCTGCAGGAGCCTGATAACCATCCTGATCATTTGAATGAGGTGTGTTGGAAACATCTAAAACATGCAGGACTGTGGCCCTCGAGGACCAGGATTGGAGACCCCTGGTTTAGACTGTGATACCTGGATGGATGTAGAACTGACTTTTCTTTCAGTTTTATTTTTTCTAATGAGGGTTTGAGCACTAGGACCCTATTGGAACTGCTGTATTATTGTTATTCTACAGCCGAAACAAGCGCACTTTTGAGAGCCTAAACATGCACGAAAACTCACCAAAATCCCCACACACATAAGGACTGGTGAAAGATTTGATATTTTAAGGGACTTGGACATGTGAATGCCAAAATGGCTCCACAGCGCCACCTTGAAAATTTCAACGGAGTCCCGTTGGAAGCACGTTTGACGTAGACCTACGATATTTGGTAGGAACATGGAGCAGGTCAGGACGAACAAAAAAGTCAACCAGCTCCAAGCTCTAAAATGCAACACGGCTCAACTGCGCCCCCTACAATATTTCAACAGCGTCCCATTCGGGGCTACGTTCAACTGACGGCTACAAAATTCGGTACACATGTGGAGCAGGTCGGGACGTACAAAAAAGTCCATCAGCGTGCTTCTGTAAACTCAACAGAAAGTCCTCCATTTTGAACAAACGGTGAGCATCGCAGGTCATTTTTGGCCATTTTCAAAATCTATCTCCTCCTCGTGGGCACGTCGTACACGCCTGAAATCTGCCCAGCACAAACTACAGGACGTGGTGATTAAATGCTATTAAAACTCTCGGCAAAAGTCTGACGGCATGGAAATGGCGGCCCCTGGAATATTGGTCGAAACCCTATAAAACAGGACGTGTTGTGTAACTGGCCAACATCTGACTGTTAGATTAGACAATTTTTTACTACCTTTATATCAGCAACACATGTAATTATTTGCTGTTAATTGAAAGAAAGATTTTGGATGTTAAGGATTGAAAAATGACAAATAAAGTTTAAAACTGTTGTTTTCCAGATTTTGTGTTTTGTTTGTAGTTTATTGACTGAGATGGTTGGTCTGAGATTC